CTTCATCAGTTATGTTGAGGTCGCTCACAACTTTTAGTCGTGATCTTAGCTGAAAGTACCTGTCCCGTGACATACTGTTCGCGATGAGTGGCACCCTCTTTTTTTTCATCCAATACATTTTGACCTGAGGATAGCCCAGACAAAACATCGTGACTGAGGTGCCGAAAAATATTTTTATTTCATCTGCAAAGGTGTTAAGGCTCTTTCCTCTCTTAGCCACTTCTTTGGTGTTCGTAGCAATTGCCATCATTGCATACATTTCGTCAGTGGCATACTGCTGAAAATATTCTTATGGGCTGCAGTTAGCTCTCTCCCACGTCGTCCGGAACGACTTGGAAATCCGGTACCCAGGACAGAGGAGAACTGAAAGCAACATTGTACCAGCTCTTACAAATATGTACTGAACCTTTCTAGAACACAGCAAACTACCTTGTAGAGGCAACAAAGTGTGGCAAAGCTAGCAGTATGACAAAAAACAGTGGTCAGAACAAAAACAATATTCTTCAAAGCTTACTGAAAGCTGAACACAGATTAGAGCCGGACGCATTGTTTAAACCATCTCGCCCTCAAAATATGTTGCAAACTGCTATCATTGTAGCTATCAATGTAGAACAATCAAATTTTCATACATCTATTCTCTTATTATGTATCTCGATAGTGGGTAAATCTCACCTCTGACAGGCTTTTCACAAAGTCTCTTCTTTGTAGCAGGGGTACTAGCCTGTGGCTCATCTTCCTCACTGCTGCTTCCCTCTGCAGAACCGGGCTCATCTTCAACAGGAACCAACGGAGGGTCATATTCAACGGTGTTGTAATCACTGTCTGACAACTCAATGCCAGACGCCTGTCCTTGCGCGATTTTCTCAAGTATTTGGTCAGCAGTTTCTTCACTGATGCGTGGTCAATATCCTAAACCAACCCAAAATAATAACATTCCGCGTGAAAAAAAATGTAAAAGACGGTATTTTTGTACGGCACGCATGTGACCAACTGAATGTTACGTCAGGCTCGCAAACTTCGCACTGAGTCTCATTGTCCCGTCTAGTGGATGTCGCAATCTCAAAGGCATTAGTGTAAAACAAAGACAACTGGAGACCAACATTGTATAGCGGCGTGGGCCCTAATTAGTTGACAATGACTTCCAAACGGAAGAAGTACCGAAACTGAGCGAAAATTAACAAAAACATACTTCTTTGGTCGCCACCGTAGATCGCACTCGAAGTGAAAACCGCCATTTTGGAATCCTCTACAGCTCCCGCCGGTGAATTGATTTTTATGCAACTTCACAGATGGCACCACCAGATGTCCACAATGTTGGACATTGGGTTTCAACAACGTAAACACTGTTGATGTTTTTCTATGCGTTCAGATCCTCTGTCCAATATATTAGACAAATTTTGTATTGCCGGGTCTCGGGAGGATATCTAGAGATCTGTGTTTCTCGTTTTTTTTTTCAAGAATTTTACATACTTTTTTCGGCTTTTATTTGGAAATGAAGTTTTTGATTTTATCGGTGAATATTTTTAGAGATGTAAGCTTATCATTGTTTTGGTGAATATGCATTGACTAGTTCCATCTTTCAATACATTCGGTCCAAAATGCAGTACATTAGATGGATATCTGAATTACATACTTGCAGCAACATTTGCAGACATGACAAACATAACCTTGGTTACCACTTTCATAGGGACGACGACAAATTCTAATGTGCAAATTTCGCAAGCATAATCATAGGCACTTTTGTGCTCTTCCCATTCATAGGGTTATCAAAACTGCTTCTCGCTAACCAGAGAGAAGCTTGAGAAGGTGTTGAAAGAGCTCCCCTCCCCACGAAAAAACCCAGCTTAAATCAAACGGCTTGACAAACAATGAAAAACTCCAAATCTGGCCTTTAGAAGACTACAGCCAACTTGACGCACAAGGACAATCACAAAATGAACGCAAGTTGCGTCCAGAACAAACCCAAGTACTTCCTAAAGAGTGTTGTCCTGCAGACCCTCCGCCAACAGAACACTTTGCAGTTACGTAGATAAAATAGTTGGCTACTCGGTCAAGTGCGACGTAATATCCCCTTTCCTCTTGCCTTGCCATAGTGTCCTGAAATGCTGACTTTTCTTGGTTAAAACCCAATTTACAAAAATGAATTTGCCACTTTTACTTGTTTAAACCAAAAACGCTGAACTCCATTTATATTTATAGTTAGAGCCCTACATATCCGCGGATATCCGCAAATATCCACAGTAAATTGGCGGATGCGCATAAAAATTAAACGGATTTTGGCGGATTGCGGATTGGATGCGGATATCAGGGGCTCCGGATGCGGATATCCGCGGATCCGGATCTAAATTTTTGCCCGGTGGCATTTAGTCCGTCAACTGACGTTTCATCTACAGATCGTTTCGTCAACATGTGACGTTTGATCGAAAGGCTTCTCGTGTTCGTCTCATAGAAAAACCTGAGACGTTTCGTTGTACACAACCCTGTTATTTTCGTAGCGAACTTTTTGCATCTCGCCTGGATTACAGGGGGAGGGAGACATGGTTTGGTTAAGCACGCCTTAGTGAATCGCGCGCTAGCTTTTAGCGGCTTAGTGAAGAAATACATTGTCGATGAGACGTCGCAGGGGCATGTGCCCCCAAAACATACGGCGTCGACGAACCGTATGTCCGTGAAAAGGTTCCTACGAAATGTATTTCAACAAAACGCGTTTCGAAGAAACGATAGGGATGCTAAGAAAGATCTGATTCTTACTGAAGATCGCTTCAGTTAGTGCATTTCATCTTGTCAAAAGTGCTAAGAAAAAAGTAAAAGTAAAGAATGCAGGGCATCAATCGTGCCGAGAAAGCTAGTTCTTCGGCAGGGAAAGAGCGGAAAACTTTTTTCGGGCAAAGAAAACTTCAAATGAACAAGTCACAAGAAAGTAGAAGAAACCTCCACCTCTCCGCAGAGAGTGGTGTGGTCATGATACCAAAAGCAAAAGAAGTGCTTCGACAGCGAGCGCGACCCTGTGGCGCCATGGTTTGTAAAGTTTTGGAATCAGTGGCGCACGCACAAAGGCAGCTCTTAAATTGCCTGTTTCTTTTTTGTATGCTTAGAGTTCTAGCCAAAAAAGTCTGGTACTTGATATTCGTCCGGTTACGACGCCAGGGCGCCAGCAATGCCAGCGGCTGCCGCGCTCAACCTCCGTAACCGCCCCAAGCAAAAAAAAAAAAAAGTTTTCTTGTAATATAAATATATATATTTAGGCACCTGCAGGCCGCAATCTTCCTCGAACAACACGTTAGTCAATCCGATCAGGCCTTTGATTTAGTGGCGCATCTGCCCGCTTGCTGACACGAGACACCGTGAGACTCGAGGCGGCCACATACGCTCGGTAACATCACAGAAAGGATGTTGTCTTCCTACCACTGCTTCTCCTTCTCTCTGTCCAAGCTTTTTTTTTTTCAATTTTTTTATGACCTCTTTTTTTAGGCGTTCAGACTTCAGGTGAAAGTTTCCGATTCCGCGTGCGGCGGGGAAGAATGTGGTCGGTGTGATTTCCACTGATTTTGCTACTCTAAATGTAATCATGACCTCTGGTGGTTAGCAAGAACATCGACATGGTTCCACATTTCGTGGATGCGGTTCGGATACGGATATCGATAGAATAATGTAAAAAGTTTGCGAATGCGGTTTGGATGTAGATACAAAATCTGCGGACGCGGATCGGATGCGGATACTCAAACTGTTATCCGCGCAGGGCTCTATTTATAGTCTATTCAATTCAATTAGTTTATTTTTTCCAACATCTTTGGCATCCCCAGAAAAGAAGCTGTCAAAGACAGCTTGAGGTAGACAGCTTGAGGGTGTCTAAGAGCCCATGCAAGTAGCAGCAGTGATTCATAGAAAATAAATAAGTAAAACTAGAAAAAATAGCACAACTTTGGCATCATTACAGAAAATATGAAAAGCAAGTGAACAGTAATACTAAATGTCTGTCAATATAGTACAGAATAGACAATAAAATTCATATACATTCAAGCTCATAAGATAAAAAGAAAAATAATTGCAGATACCCACTATACCGTAAAATCCTGAATTAACGCCCCCCTTTTCGCCGTAGATAATTGGCAAAAAAAGTGGGGTGGGCGATCTTTCAGTATTTAATAACCAAAATCACAAACAAAAATCGAGTAATGCGTGCGCCAAAGCAGCGTGGGTTTTTATTTCCCTAGCTCTCATCGCTGAAACCGTCAAACGACACATCGCTTTCGCTATCGAAGATTAAATCTAACGCCTCGTCAATGAGGCTCTCGGGATCCTCGGGTCCATTGGTTACCGAAGCCAAACGGTCGTTGAGCTCGCCGTCCTCGGAACCATCGAGCCTTGTGGATATTCCGCACCGTTTGAACGAACTCTGCACGGTATCCTCGGAGACGGAGGCCCACGCCTGAGCCACCAAGTCCACAACCTCTTGACGCGACGGCTTGCGAAGGTTGCCCTTTGGAGTCACCGAACCTTTCCGGAAGAACGATGCCCAAATTCCACGCAGCGCGTCCTTGAAGGGCTTCATCCATGAGACGTCCGCGGGTTGCAATATGGACGTGCAACCGCCCGGTATCAAGACGACGTCGGTGTCTTTTGCGTCGAGCGCTTCTCGGGCCGCCTCTGTCTTGTGTATGGGTGCTTGGTCCAGTATGAGCAGTCTCCTCACGTCGTCGGCGTTCGGGCCCCAAACTCTCCTAGTCCACTCCAGTAGGACGGGAGAGCTCATCCAACCGTTCTTCAAAGAAGTAACTCGCACATTTGCTACAAGTACAACAAGTATAACATGAAATAACAGTTCGGGCCCCAAACGCACATTACACATGCTACGCCGATGAGTGAAGATATGCGAACTGCCCGATTTTATGGCCGAGCGCCGAAGCACGCGCAAGTGAGTAAGCTTCGGAAAGCCAGCAAGTCACGCGCCAACTGCTCGTGCGCTCAAGATGGCGCCGGCCAGAACGGCTACGCCATCTTTCGGAAATCGGGCGATACAAAACAAAACGGGCTGTGGCGTTTTGTCAATGGATGACGCAACAGTCGCTCTATTTAAAAAAAAAAATGCTGTCAGCCTTATTTTTACGTATTTCTAAGGCTTTGTTTTGACATTTATACCCTGAATGGTGATTAATTACAACATACCTGGAATCCTTAGAGAAAAGAGTACTCTGGGGGGAATCCGGCCGGTTGGCTCCTTCAGTATGATCAAAGCAGGTAGCTTGATGCCCGCTGCCGTCGCGCACAAGGCCACCGTCATCCCTCGCCGAGCACAGCCGGTGTTGGCGATGCGAATACTCGACTCGCCGACAGCATTGTTGGTTCTCGCAGCAGGGCAATCCATCCGGACCATAGTCTGATCCATGTTGGCTATGTTGTAGTCCGAGTAGTTGTGCTCCAGGCGCAGAGTTGACACAGCCTTTCGGAACACCGTAATTGCTTCAACGTAGTCGGCAGGCAGCTTCTGACTTTCGTTGGTCCCCACCCGCATAGACACATTAAATCGCTTCTTCCAGTTAGCTATGTACTTGCATGACGCTTGGAAGTTTCCTAGGCCCATCTGTTCTGCCAGTTTCCGCGCATGCTCTTGAAGCAGGCGATTGCTGACTGCTCGACCGGCGGATCTCTCAGTCTCCTGGAAGTCCATCAGTGCGTCGTCGATTTCTTCACTAAAAACGGGTCGTCCCCTACCTATTGCTCTCTTCAACTTGTTCGTTCCATGGCATTGTTGTAGAAGTACTTGGTAGCTCGTATTCCATTCCCATACACGCTTCCGGTCAACTTCGAAATGGCGCGCAGTCTTGCTCACGTTAGCTCCGTTCTTGCGGTGCCATTCCACGACTTGCACTTTCTTCTGGATGGTATAGCTGGACCTCATCCCGAGTATACACAAGAAGCGTCTTCACAGTTTGCTGGTCGAAAGATTTTCTGGGGTTCTCGGGCGATCTGACGACAACCACTAAGTGACCTTCAACGCTTTCCTGAAGTCATTCAATAAGTGACCTTGACCGCTTTCCGGGTTCCTTCCGTTATCTTATCTCCCTTATTGTGTGTGGCCTCTTCTTTTTGTGAAGGGAATCCTAGGCTTTCTAAACCTTCTCCCCTACCCTCTGGCACCTTTCTCAACCTTCGGGCATCGCTATTTTTGGAAGGTGGGCGACCTATCAGTATTCGAGGGAAACACGTGTTCGAACATAAAAGCGGAGTGGGCGATCTATCGAGTGTGGGCGCTATTTCAGGATTTTACGGTAGTCATTACACATTTTATAGCTAAGCGGATTCACATGACATAAAATATCTATTTCTGCATTAATTACAATTTGTAACATTTGAACTTGAACTTCTGGAACTCCGTTTGGGGAAAAAGCAAATTTTTAGTACATATAATGATACAATATACTGCATTTTCCGGACTATAAGTCGCGCCGTTGTATAAGTCGCACATCCGTATATTGAGCCATTTTTGTGGAGAAGTTGGTATATAAATCGCACCTCTTCGCACGGTTCACGCAATGAATTCTCTAGTTTATGCGTATTGGTATCGCGAAATCGGAGTTTCACACAATTGCTAGATCGCACATACCATTTGACGCGCATTTCGACCTGTGAGAAAGGTCCATAGTATGGTGCTGGATGGCAGGGGCAATCCAGTATTCCGTAGCAAAATGGAAATGCGCAAAATAAGAGGGTAGTCGAATTTATTAGAGCAAACGCATGCTGAGCGATAGAAAGATTAAGGAGCTAGACACTCAGGAACCAAGCTCTGGAGCACTAGGCCTAGCCGAGGCCAAGTCCCGGAGACGACGCGAGCATCGATGCGCAGGCAGAAAGATAAAACTTGACATACTTTTTTTTGGTACCTCTAAAAGATTGGCTAGCCACAATCCTTCCTTTTACATGTAACAGCACGGCTGGAGCATGGCACAAAAAAACGGCTTATCAAACGGAAACTGAGAAATACGTGAGAAAATATTTAGCAATGGGGGGGGGGGGGGGCGTGTATACCAGCCCACTTACTTTTCAGTGTTACTGTACTGAAGCAAAAGAATACGGAACCATGGCCTGAACTAGGCAACATCAATAACATACTGTAGAGAGGAAATTGAATTGCTTAGACACTACACTGCATAACGAGGAGGACACCAGCACCAGCTTCAAGGTTTCCTCTTACACCATAGAAACCGAACGCATAGTACAGAACAGAAAGCAGCACCACAAGCATTGAAAGTCCACGCATCATCATGAAGACAATTTTTCATTATTTCTCAGATTTTTATTTTTTCCAAACTCGCACATGGGAAAACTCAAGCAAGGAAAAGGAAAAAAAAAGAAAAGAATGAACAGTTGTCAGTCTGCGCCCATTCATGTACATTCTGTTTCTCCTCATCTCAATGTAATTCATTGTTTTCCTTTCATTTTTTGGTCACGCGTTTGTTCTGTAGAACTTCGCAGTGCAACACATTCGGATATGTACTATAACCAACTAGCCCAAACCCAAGTCCCAGCTTTATTAATGCTGTAAAAGCTTTATTCTCACTGTCTCGCTTATCCACATTGAGCCGCTTCGGGGAAACCATAAAAATGAAAATATCTCGCCTCCTGGAAGAGGAAACACCACCTATGGTTACATAATTATGGTGCTCTACAAAAAATGGCATGCGGCGTATAAAAAAAATTATGTCGCACTTTGAAAAAAAAAATCTTATGTAAGTCACATCGTTGTATAAGTCGCACCAAGAAAAATATTTGAAAAAAACCGAGACTTATACACCGGAAAATACTAGTCATAAATATACCCAGTGCTGTGATGCAAAGAGAAAGTGGAAGGCCATCCTCGATTTCAGCTGCAGTTAGTAATGGCTGTTAAAATTGACGTATGGTTATGTTAAAACAAATCCTCCCTTCCACAACCACTTGTCATTCTTAAAACGTTCAGGCTTTAGGAAAAAATGGTCATGGTTGTTGTTAAATAATTTTTAATCAGATATTCCTCAAAGAAAGGAGCACAAACTCTGACAATATCCCATTGTTGATAGCATACACTGCTTAACAATTTGCTTTAGGAAAAAAATTAGGTTGAATGCAACATACATTGGCAGGGAACAATTTTGAAATATTGTGCAAAGGCAAGAAGAAATGATCCAGGAAGTAGTAGTGCAAAACTATTGATAGTATCGATGGTCGCCAGAAATCAGTCTATCAACAGTAAAAAAGACTGGTGATAGTACTAGCAGTAGTCGACTATCGAAAAACTATTGATAGTACCATCGATTGTCGACTATAGAAAAACTATCGATAGTACCGTCAACGGTTTACTATCGATAGTTTTGCGACATTAGCAGTTTCCGTCGTCCATCTTCTCTTTTTCTCGCTTTATTTCTTTCAAATGGGACACCAACTAGCCCCAGCACTTACCATCCCAACTTTGATTTAGCTTTCAGTGATGATGTAGATGGGAGTTTGGGCGAAGAGAGGAGGAAAGGGGGCAAGCAGCGATGCGGCAACTGTGTTCGCTCTAGTAGTGCAAAACTATCGATAGTCACTGGAAAGAGTTGAGCACGTTGGTTACACATATTTAGGAGACACCAGCTGAACAACCCAAGCACACAAATGTAAGAAGGACGAGAGAGACCCCAGCGGTTGAATGCGTCTCTCTCGTCCTTCTTACATTTGTGTGCTTGGGTTGTTCAGCTGGTGTCTCCTAAATATCGATAGTCGCCAGAAATCTGTCTATCAATAGTACTATTGATAGTTGACTTCAAAAACTATCGATAGTACTATCGATTGTCGACTATCGAAAAACTATCGATACTTCTATTGATAGTCGACTATTGATAGTTTGTGACACTATCGATAGTTTTGGAAAAACTATCTATAGTATCGATAGTCAATTTATCTATAGCTTTGCATCATTACCAGGAAGTCAAGAATGCTTAAGATTGTAGATGTTCTCAAGAGGAATACCGTATTTTCGCACGTATAACTCGCCCCTGCATATAACCCGCACCCCCAACTTTGAACCCGCAAAAAATACAAAAAAAATCCACGCATATTACGCGCACAATGAATTATGAAATGCAGTGCTCACAGTTAAGGAAAAAGAAATGTTTATTTTCAAATTTTGCATAACGTCGAACTTCCTTTCCTAACGTTTAGTCATCACTGCTGTCACTACCACCGCTGCTGTCGATAGAAGCGTCGTCATCCCAAACAACGTCATCTTCCGTACCGTCAAGACGGTTGCTGATGGAGCACTTCTGAAAGCTCTTGCGCACCATCTCGGCGGAAATCTCTTTCCACGCGTTATTAATCCACTTGCACAGGAGCATAATGTCCAGTCTCTTGACCCGGCCCGTCGGTGTCAGCTCGTGGAGCTCTTCGGCCATCCACTCCGTGTATTGCCGCTTCACGTTTGCCTTGAAAGGTTTGTCGAGGCAAACGTCGAGGGGTTGGAGTACGGATGTCATACCTCCTGGTATCATTACAAGGTCCGTGCAAGCCTCCGAGACGGGCCTTGACCGCTTCAAAGCTGTGGCCTCGAAACGCGTCCAGCACCAGCATCGATCTTTTAGCGAGCATGGCCCCTGGTCTGTTCTCCCATGTCGTCTTCAACCAGTCCATGATGAGATCACTGTTCATCCAAGAGTTGTCTGCCACACGGACAACAATTCCAAAAGGCACTGTAATGTTCCGTAGTGTTTTGCGCTTGAAAATTACATAGGGGCTTTGTTTCGTGCCGTCGGCTAAGGCGCACAGCATCACGGTGCAGGTTAGCTTCATAGCTGCTTTGCACCGCTCCTAATTTCGCTCAACTTGCCACTCCTGATTTTGCTCAGCTCAGTTCCCAGGGAAAGCAGGATTATCTTTTCGCTGTAGTCCCATGCTTTGTTCTTGCACATGGCCTTCGTGTGCTCTGCAGTTGAGATAAGAAAACAGAAATGTACACACTTAAGCTTTGTAAATGTAAATGACTGCAAAAATAACTTCCTGATGGAGTTATACACTTTATATCACAATTCTGCAAAATGAAAGTGAAATGCAAGTAATAGTACACCTGCATGCACTATTTACAGGACCGTGCAACGATTTTAACATTACAAGAATCTGCACTATATTAATCTTACGTAGTTTACATTAGCACCGTGTATTGTAAAGCAAAACGTTTAGAATTTCTTGACCTGCAATCGCAAATGGCTGCACGGAGTGCAGCCATTTGCGATTGCAGTTTATTCAGATTGAGTGGCCACCGTTACATGCGATTGAGTTTATTCAGACTGTAATGGCCACCATTACAGTCTGAATAAACTCGGCAAGTCATCAATTATTTGCTCAGTCTAAAGCTAAGTTATCAAAATTGTGCCAGTTTAACATGACCTTAGCACGTCGTCAATCGTTGTGCTAAATTCTGCCTTCGATATGAACACCAAGTAAACATGCCAAGAGCCTTTTATTGTCATCAAGATTCATTAGACAGAGTGTCAGTGGTGCAATCTGCCCGACATCAACAACATCATTCCACTTCTGCTGGTTCCATAACGAATGGACAAAAGCTGTCAACACTTGTGCTTTCCTGCTTGTCCAGGAAGGGATACAAGCCGGAAACATCAGTGATGCTGACTAGTTGTGGTTTTCCGACATGATAGAACCACAGCTCGAAGAGTGTTCTGATCCAAGCCAAAAACCTTCAGCAACAAAGCAGAATAAAATAATGCAAAAAGCTACACAAAATAGCCGTGATGGCTGAGACGTCCAGTGGGGGCCGATTTCTGATGGCCTAAGTGAGCCTTCGGCCCGTTGACGTTTCACCGAGCAGATGATAAGGGCCTGCTGCATGAACACGGTGGCGAGCAGCCCACGCGCCGTGGCCATTGCGGTCTT